CCTCATACAGGGTTTCAAGGCAGCTTTCCAGATAGTCTAAAAACATGTACTAGGAAATCGAAAAAGGTCCAGTATTAAAACACAGTACACAACATCCAGTAGGATGAAGAGACTGCTGGCTTAAAACAAACCTAAACCTTCACACACCGACACCCCAGAAGCAGGTCTTTGTTATTTTTTTTAAGGCAGCCTCCCCCCACTGAAAGCTGCTTCCTTTCTCTCTCGCTTGTTCAGGTGCCAAAGGCCAGGCACTCCAGGGCCCCCGCAAGGCGCCAAAGTTCATCATCCCCTCAGGGGACATTCAGGAGAGGTAAGGGGAGGTGCTCCCCAAACAGAGCTTGGAAAGGGGGGCTGTTAAAATCTGCCCCTTCCAGAATGCCCCCCAGCTAGCACGGCTACTGGAAGAGAGCAGGTCCCAGAATCGAGGGAATACAAGTCCCAGAATCCACCTCCCAAGTGTGGCCACTCCGAGAATCTGGAGAGTACATGTTTTGCGGACTACACTACCCAGAATCCCCAAGACTACACAGAGGGTGGTAGTGGATCCTAACTCTCAGAATCTGGGGCGACAGCATCTTGGCCCCAAGAATCTCTCAAGCCACCAGCCCCACAGCCATGCTGTCTGGGGCATTCTGGCAACTTCCCCGCCTCTCCCCAAATCACATTTCCACTCTCTGTCCGAAAGGCAGTTCCAGCTGCTCGGCCGCAGCCCCTTGCTTCGGGAGTCCCGAGACCCTCTAGGTGTTGCGGCCCAAGGGGCAACCTCAAAGAAGGTTTGGCAGGAACAACACCGCCCTTTATTGACACCATGTTGTTTCAGTGGGGGCAGGGCAAAAGGGGCTCACTGCGTCCAACCAGATCCAGATCTGACTAGGCTCAGTGAGCTGAAACTCCCATCATCCCTCTTCCGGGGCAATTCCATCCACCTCAGCCAGCATCGTGAGTAGATCCAGACTCGAAAACGTTTTGACTGCTCCTGGCTGACTTGTCCACGCCACCTGGATCTTCCCATTGGGAGTCCTCTCCGAGCCAACCTAGTTCTGCCTCCCACAATCTGGAACCCCTTTCCTCATGAATACTGGACTACTATACCCATCTTTCCTGGTCGTGCCGGGGATGTCTCCATCTCAGCCAGCATCGTGAGTAGATCCAGACTCGAAAACGTTTTGACTGCTCCTGGCTGACTTGTCCACGCCACCTGGATCTTCCCATTGGGAGTCCTCTCCGAGCCAACCTAGTTCTGCCTCCCACAATCTGGAACCCCTTTCCTCATGAATACTGGACTACTATACCCATCTTTCCTGGTCGTGCCGGGGATGTTGAGGGCTGCAATCCAGCACCCGGGCAAGAAGGCAGAAGGCTGATCGATAAGGGTCAGCATCAGGGAGTGGATATCGGAAGGGAATTCACTTCTCTTCTAGGGCCCTTCTCGGCATCAGAAATAGGTCCTGTCTGCCTGCTATTTTGGTGGTGCATTTGTCAGCAGAGAGAAGGAAAGAGAAAGGAGGTGATTGCACAAACAGGCTCCCAACTTTTTTTCTTTCTTTCTTTCTTTTTAAAATAAGAACCGTTTCCAGAAGAAGGTGCTTGAGATTCACAGCCGGTTGCATAAGAGCACGTGGGCTGATTCTTAGGGCAGAGGATGCAGACATGACAGAAAGAGAGGCATGGCACCGATGAGAACCGGTGGCTGCGATGGGGGCCCCTTTGGGTGCTGGAGTGATAGAAAGGAAGTAGAGGAGGCTGCCTTCAGTCCGCCCAATGTTTGTCAGCTTGGACTGGTGGAAATAGCCCCGGCGGGATTTCCTCTCAGCCCCGTCTGGAGATCTCTGGTGGTCTCCTATCCTAGGAACGGCCAGGCCTGATCCTGCTAAGTTCCCAAAATCAAAGAGCTAAGGAGACCCTTGAGTGTATCTCAGGGTTGCAAGAGGACCCCAGAATCTTCGGTTTGGGTGGTTGACCCAGAGTCACCAAGGTCGACCCGTATATGTATGTATAAGGGGTTGAGGATGTTGGCTTTTGGGACTACAGCTCCCACAAGACCCCAACCAGCCTAGCCATTGGGATTTGTAGTCCAAAATGGGGGGTGGGAGGCTTTTCCCAGTTCTGCCTATAAATCCAAGAAGATGAAATGAAAGCCGTGGCTCCCGATCCCCTTGCTGTCCTTAGAGGTCTTCTTTCTCTAGAGCTACAAAGCACTCTTGAGTGGGCCAGCTGGCGTTCCCCCCCCAAAAAAAAAACCCCTTGATCGCCTCATGGCATTCCTGGGCTTCAAAATTCATGAAGCAGGAAGTATTTTCATGTAACCCTCCTGGCAGAGAAAGCCAAAGCCCAGAGCCGGCTCTAACATGGGTCAGAAGGAGTCGGTCACTTCGCACGGTGTCACGAAAGTGGCAGCGACAGACTAATTATTCCACGGGTTCTTTGATGTGTTCTCTCTCTCTCTCTCTCTCTCTCTCTCTCGCTCGCTCGCTCGCTCGCTCGCTCACTGCCTCCCCCCCTTTGCAGGGGTTTGTAGAATCCTATAGTTTGAGCAGCAGTTGAAGTTCTTTTCTGCCACCTACTGACCATAGCTACTCACTGCAGCAGACAGGAAGGAGATACACACAGATACTACTACTACTACTACTGCTACTACTGCTGCTGCTGCTGCTGTTAGCTAAAGGTAAAGGTCCCCCTCGACATTGAGTCCAGTCGTGTCCGACTCTAGGGCGCGGTGCTCATCCCCATCTCCAAGCCATAGAGCCAGCGTTTTGTCCAAAGACAGTTTCCATGATCATGTGGCCAGCGTGACTAGACACAAAACGCCGTTACCTTCCCACCGAGGTGGTACCTATTCATCTACTCACATTTTAACATGCTTTCGAACCGCTAGGTTGGCGGGAGCTGGGACAAGCGACAGGAGCTCACTCCGTCGCATGGATTGGATCTCACGACGGCTGGTCTTCTGACCTTGCAGCACAGAGGCTTCTGCGGTTTAACCAGCAGCACCACCATGTCCCATTAACAACAACAACTTAGTGCCAATAATAATAATAATAACAACAACAACAACAACAACAACAACAAGAACAACTTAGTGCCAATAACAACAGCAGCAACAACAACAACAACGATGATGACGACGACTACTACTACTACTTTCCCTACTGCTTCAAATTACTCGCGTCTCTTTCTATATGTCTATGTTTTCCAGTTCAGGAACAGATCTGAGGCTAGCCAAGGTTTGCACAAGGATTCTGGAAAAACTCTTGTCTGCAAGTCCCCCTCCCTCAAAAAATGTGCTAGGTACAATGCTAGGGAGATGCTGTGTCTCCTCAGCCCCGAAAAGGTACGGGTGCACAACAGTCCCCTGTCTTGTCCAAATCATGGCAAAGACTTTGCTCTTATGAATTAACCCAGAAAAGAAGCAGCCCGCCCCCCCCAGGATGTTGATAGGCGCTGCCACCGGATAACTGAAGTCGTGCTAAAAAATTGTTTTCGAAGGGGTTTGAAAGAGAGAAGCCAGAAAGGTGACACGGCACG